CTAAACCAAAACCTTAACAGTAACCAAGTTTAGGTTTTAAAAATGAAATATTTGAAAATACTGCCTCCCCTCTCCCTTTGTCGCGGCAGAAAACAAACCTAAAGTCTTTCCATATTATACAACTTGAAGGCCACGATAGCTTCGGCTGGCCGATCAACATTTGTTAAACTAAATGACAGGTAGGTACGGGGGAAAAAAATGGCCGTGAATTCTCGCAGGTCACGTATGCTACTCTCGGTCTTCCTGGAGCCAAAGATACCGTGAGTGGTAACACAGCACATTAATAATCGCGTAATTTAGCTTACAGGGGGTTAAGAAGATGTCACTGAAAGATTAAAAAATGCTGATTCCATCTGAATGTCTGCAATTTGGTCAAAATCCATAAACTGTTAAATCGCCTTCGGCTGCGTTAGCTAGCTAATTGTTAGCTAACTTAGCAGCAACGACGGATAAATACAATAATATAGCACTGTTATGGGGTCGACGCTTTGTTTTTGTTTTTTCGGTTGTTACGGACGGTTAAAACAAACGACACCATACCTTACGTCTGAACGCCAACAATGATGACCGCTAACAGTCCTGCTCTGAAAGGTTATTTCGGGTTTCTCCTTGTTTTAATGTGGGCTGCGTCTCCTTCTCGGAAGTAGGCGCGGTCAAACAGTGACGTGCTTGTTCTTCAGAAAGTCTTAGCCTTAGATTACAGCTCGCGTACTTTATAACATAATAATGAAATAAACGAAAGAAACAAAGCTCTTAAGTTTGTGTGGATTCACATAAAACGAGTGTAGTACTTGTAGTGCTACCAATAAGCCAAATGAGGGTTGTTGTACTTCCATCCATTTTACTTAGTAAATGTAGCACCAGAAAGAAAAACTAAATTAGTTGAAACCGCTGTATTTCTGAAATTAGTCTGTATGCTATAACCGTATTTTTGTTTTTTGTTCTGTCTTTTCTGTACATAATACGCACAAGTTTATGAGCCCCACCCACCATAAACCCAACACTTCCTTATTACTCTGTTGTTCCATACTTCACATAAATATGCAGTTTTCCCTTCTTAAAGCAGTATTAATAGGACACAGCACGAGACCTGTATATAAAAAGACACATACACCTTTAAGACAATATGAAAGTGCAGGCTGTTCTTTACTGTCCTTGAAAAGCTTTGGCCCTCTTTTGTAAGCCATGCATACTACTTGTGACATACTTGTGAAAAAATTTTGTGTTGTAAATTACAGTGCCCAATACATTCAAACAGGGTGACGCATTACAAAACAGGGCGGACTGAATCAATGTGAGGAAATAAACTTCCTGCTGTACTTTGGTCTGTTTATTCACCATTCACAATTCCTGCTTTTTCCAAATGTTTT